TATATATATATATATATATATATTACGACTGCTGCCTTCCTCAGGGATCGCCACATTGAACTAACTCGCATGAAGACCTTGGCATTGTTTTTCGCCAGATGCCCTTTCTGACGTAACCAGAGACCACCGAGCTACCACAGCCCTCCGTGTGGAGCAGAGAGCTGCCATCTAGGGTGCCTGGGGCAGCAGATGGTGGGGATTAAGGGTCTTGCTCAAGGGCCCAGAGTGGGGTAAATGAAGGTGGAGGCAGGTGTGGGTGTTTCACCTTTTCCACTCACATTTTGACGTTGTCAGTCTGGGGAATCGAACCGGCAATCTTTGGATCACAGGCTCACCTTCTCTAACTTCTGTGCCGACATTCCCGCTAACAATGGTCTAAAAGAAAGTCTAAAATACTTCTCTTCTAAAACTATAGTTTTCATTTTTAACATTTTTTATATTTAAAAAACAAAACATTTTACTTAAAGCAAGAAAAAAGGAAGGAAACCTACATGTTTTTTTCATTCTCTACTCTCCCTTCCCCTCCATATTTATTCAGACTTGGAAAATCCAAAATCCAAATTCCATCCTTCTCAGTTCTTTTCCAGACTGCATCGGACAGAATTCAAGTTTTATTAAATTATCTTGAGCGTTTCAGAAGATATAGACCAGACAGGCAAAAACCTTGTTTTAACTTTGGCCTTGATTTTTGACCTTGACCTTGGAGCTGGGGTGATGAACAGTGTACGTGACACTCCGTCTGGTGAGGAGACATTTGTGTATAAAGCTTTGTTAAATTATCTTGAGTGGCTCAAACGTTATAGGCAGGACAAGAGAAAACGTATATATGTATGTACAGAGACTATACCATAATACGTCCGCCTTCGACAGGCGTATAATAAAACCAGTAACACTTTAAATAAAGTCTTGTAACACATGCTTTTAAAGGCATTTTATCTTTGAATAAATACAAACATTCTGATCAAACTGTCTTAAAGACACAATTTCTTAAGCAACAATAAAAATAACCATTATACAGTTTTAATAGAGATTGTATTGCCGAGGTTTTACATGACATTATGGGACATTAACACAACAAAAAGACCTTTATGTTGTGGTGAGAGATAAACCATTAATGGGCTAACATCACTGTGGTGTTTGAATGAGGCTCATGTGATTGGCTCAAACCAGCTGGGGAGGAGATCCCAGTGAAACACTAATCAGATCGTGCTTAACAAGGCCACGTCTCCCTCTATTAATTGACATTCATTATTTACAATGATTATTTATCCCAGCCAAATACCCGGAGGAGTGTGTGTGTGTTTGTGTGTTGGTATGTGTGAGTGCTTTGGGAGAAGCCAGCTCGCTTTGCGTTTGTTAATTTTTCAGCTGTGGAAAAACGTACAGGAAGTTTGTTTCAGCTGCAAAGATGAGGAACCAGGGCGCTGATAAAACGGGATTTATTAAAGGAGTCTGACTTGGCAGCAGAAAGCAGAAAATAACTTCAAACACCTAAATGTTCAAAGCTGTGCTCGACATGATACGGTCACAGTTTATGATTTTTCTATCTCTGCGGCTAAAATAGGCGTTTGACCTAAATGATTGAAAAACAAAAAAACGACATGGAACTGAGAATGAGCAAATAAAAGACCAAAAGACAAAAAACACAGTAATTGAACTGAGGTGGCCAAAGACGCTTGCATAGGCCTGTCGCGATAAATGATAAATCAATTAAAATGATCAACTTCATTTTCATTTATTGGCTTTATCGTTTCTTTGTGTCTCTCTTTCTACTGAAGACATTGGATGACAAAAAGCTCAACTCCGGTGCTCTTCACTGACCCCTCCCTTTCTCTTTTTCTTTAAAATCCATTTTAACCGTCCAAAATCGCTTTTTTGGATCGTTAAAAGCAGCGAAGCTACGAGCTAAGCTAACAGGCCCAATTCGGAGAAAAAACTCCATCTTGTCAAAGCTCCAAAATTCACAGTTGAAACCCGTGCCTTCATGTAAAAAGTTGTTTTTCTCTGCAAAAAGAAGCTGAGAACTTGTTTACTGATTTTTATTAAAAGCTTTGTGTGAAAAATACTATGCTAAAAAGCTCAAACCACACAGAATGTCCGCC